AAATAAAATATCAATTATTGATTTCATTCTCAATTATTATTGCTTACAAAGTAACACGACATTATAATTAATATTTTAGAAGAATATTATTGGATCCTAAAGAACATGAAGTATAATTTTCAATATTTTAGAAGAATATTGAAATATTGCTCTTGAAGAAGTAATAGTAAATACCACGTGTTCCCGAAATGACACATATATTACTTTAAATTAGTGTTTATCCCCGAAAGAAAATAGATAATTCATGTCATGTTGAAATTGACCAGTTGATTAATTATTATGTGATGTTTAATTATATTTTTCGAAATTAATTGTATTTTTTTTTTTGTTTTATTATGTAGTTAATCAAATGACAAATATCACAAAATTTGAGTTTTCAGTACTTGACATCTCTAGTAAAAACTATTAGTCATTAATTATTGATGCTGATATCGTCTTAACTCAAATGGTCAGGGAGAGACATTAAGAATGAAACAAAGAATTTCTGCAAGATCGTACAAAATCAGTTATCTTCCTTCGTCATCATTTTCATGATGGGTTGAAAATCGAATGCCTTACTGTGAAAGATCTTCATGTTCTTTGAAAAAATATTGATTGAACGATTTGATCACCAGAGAACTATATCCTTCACAAAGCCTACTATGAATGGATACACCTTCACTTGCAAGATTTTAAAACTGTTAGTGAGTACACTTCAGAATTGTTCAGAATATGCTCAAAATTGATCTTTTGTGGAGAAAAAATCACCGATGAAGATATGTTGGAGATAACTTTTTCCAATTTTCATGCCTCGAATGTGCTCTTGCAGCAACAATATCGTGAGCGTGGTGTTAGGAAGTACTTAAAACTCATATCTTGCCTACTTATAGCTAAACACAATAATGAACTACTGATGAAAAATTATGAGTTACGTCCAACTTAGAAACCATTGGCGAAATAATTAACAAACTATTAGTAACAAGACAACAATTTCAAAAGGTGCAAAACAAACGAAAGCAGCATATCCAAAAAAGAGCAAGAAGAAAATTGTTTTAGATGTAGAATGAAAGGGCATTGGACACGTATCTGTCGTATGGTAAAACATTTTGTGGATCTTTATCAGAAAAGGGAGCAATTGAGACAAATTTTGTTGATTATGATGGTCTAATTGATGTGACTTATTTAGATGTCTCTAATTGTTTTGTTGATCAAAATGGAAATATTATAATTTGATTGGGGGTGGTGTGATGAAAAATATAAATTAGTTTACTTTCTATATTTTTAGTATTTTCCTTTTGTTTTAGAGATTTAGTTTGAAATATGTTTTTAGTTTTCGGAAAATTTGAAACTTTATTATGTATCGTTAATTTCATAATATTGAATTATAGTTACCTCTTTTAAATACAATTTTTTTTTAAAAATAATATCTATATTTTTATGTTTATGGATTTATGATGAATTGTCAGGTGTGTCCATGCAAAAAATGGTTTAGCGGAGTCGTTTATTAAACATCTACAACTTATTTCTAGACTTTTACTTGTGAAAACAAAACTCCCAACTTTTATTTGGGGTCATGCCATATTACATGTTGTATTATTGGTTCGTATAAGATCAATTGTTTATTACCAATATTCACATTTACAATTTACATTTGGTCATTAACCTAATATTTCTAACTTATGGGTTACTAAAATGGACTCCCCAACGAAGAATTGAGATTTATGTTAGTTTTGATTAACCATCTATTATTAGGCGTCTTGAACTTTTAACGGGTGATCTATTTACTACACGTTTTGCATATTTTCATTTTGATTAAATGACTTTTCCAACTGTGGAAGAAATAAAATTACATCCTGAAAAATAAGGCTCTATCTTACTTTGGTCCCAACATCAATCAATAAAAGCAAGGTGCTGAAAAAATTAATCACTTGTAAAGAGTTGAAAATCAATTATCTAATTTTTTTTTCGCACGTGAAAAGCGACAATGTCATATATACCATTATAAAATATTCTAGCAAATATTGATTTCCCTGAAGGACAATATGCTGAAATAAATGAATCTCAAATATATCACAAGTGTGATCGAACGGTTGTTCAAAAGTTTTTGTACCTCGAAAAAGAAAAATACAAAAGAAAGACTAACAAAAAAAAAATTGAAAGAATTAATATTAGAAATAATTGATCAATCAAATATTAAAAGTATGGTTCTTGAAGAACCACAATTGTCCGAAAATAATGAGATTTTAATTGATTATATGTTATCTTATAAATTATGTTAACGAAATAATGTTATTGTAGAC